GAAAGAGTCTTGTGCTTTTACTCAGGATGGCTTAGGATTGCAATCTTCCTACCTGTGCTCCTGAGGGCTGGCATTACAAGCATGCAACACCATACCCAGACTTCTCTGGATATTTATTACTGTTGCTAAATGTATAACCAAGATTGTCCATATTAATTATCAAGGCCAACTTAGACTATATGGTAAGATCTTGTCTCAAAAAAACCCCACAAAAAACAAAAAACCCAAAACAACAATAACAAAATCCCAAGCATGGCAAGAGTGTTTCCCATCTTTTAAAACTGCTATTCACATACTTTTAGAAAGGCAATTATGTAAGACCAAGTATGATCTTTAAATATAAATTAGCATAAACACAAAACAGATTAGAGACTGATTTACAAAAATAACCAACAGTGAAATTCTTCTTTATAGTTAAGATGAATGACCTTCCTGATGGTAAGACAGGTCTCATATAGTGATGGAACTCTTCAGCCTTTGGTACTGCCAGGTGGGGACTGTGTAGGGTCAGCTGGTCTCTGTGGGCCATTTCCAGCTTTCTCAATAATATAGCAATTATCTCTACTTGTGTCATGAAATAAGTCTAGAAAACATTTTCTTCAATTGTCTTTACTCAAAAGCTGAGTGAAAGTATAAGAGGCAATAGTACAATGGAGTCATTTAAAAATGTTTTTACCAAATAAAACCTAATATCCATATTACAGGTCTACACTACTATAGGTCTACTCTACTGTTTTCTGATATTTTTTTCTCCCTCTTCCACCACCCAACCCAGAGATTAAAACCAAGATCTCATATGTGCTAACTATATGACCCACCTCCAAACTGAACCCTTAATTCCCACATATTATTTATCTATCTGCATCCCTCCCATGCCTCTCTTAGGATATCTTAAGACTAATAACAACATCACTCAACCAAGTAAATTATTGTGGGAGAACAACAAGGGAGGGGGTAATAATGCTCGACAAGAAATGTACTCATTGCCTTACTCATGTAACTGTAATCCCTCTGTACAGCATATTTACAATAAAACAAATTCTAAATATAGTACTATCTTTGGTATAAAGTTAAGTTTGGGGACAGCAGAAGAATCCATATTCTCTGTGCAAGAGCTAAATGCATTCAAGGTAAATGTCAAACTGTGCACCAGTGACTCATTACTATAATCTTAGCTATTCAAGAGGCTGAGACCTGAGGACCATGGTTCAAAGCCAGCCAGGCAGGAGGAAAAAAAAAATCCATGAGATTCTTACCTCTAATTAGCAAAATGGTGGCAGTAAAAGCATGGTTCAAATGTAGACCACCAGCCTTGAGCAAAAAAGCCAAGTCAGACCATAAAGCTGGGAGTTCAAACTCCAGTAATCAGCAAGGTAAGTATCAAATTCCACTTGTTAAAAATCAAAACCAAAGTACTGAATAAATGTTCAATGAAAAATCTTCATAGAACAAAAGCCAAAATTGTAAAGACCAGCTGTTAAATGGCCAAAACACTGAAACTCAAATGTTCTGTTCCAGTTTGTAGCAGCTGAAATGGGACTAGTCCCCAGCCTTCCTGGCTCCTCAAGGACTCCTTCAGAGTCTAATTGCTCCTTTCAATCTCTCTAAAACCATAAAACAATGTACTTCCTGCTCTTCAGGGAAACAGGATCTCTGGCTAATCTGAAACTAGCAAATCATTTCTTGAGGAGCCACAATTTAATTGTGTGTGATTAATCAACCTCAAATTTATGATAGTGAAATTCATGTTCCTTTATTATCTAGTCCTTGTTTACATTTGTGAAATAACATGGCAACTTTTTCTGTGTCCTGGCACTGAGTAGGAAATACCCTTAAGAACAAACTATCACATTTTTCATTAAATAGTTATTTTGAGGACAAATATTGTGACACATCAAAAAATAAGCTACATTTGAACACACAATGAAGAATCACTAACAGAATTTCATTCCTTGTATGAGAAAATGGTTCAGACAAGAGGTGTTACCACCCAGAAAGACAATGTGAGTTTGGTAAGAAAACTGAAAGCCTAAAATAGCGTCAAATGAATAAGGAGATGGAGGAAGCAATATACAGATTAAAAAAGGAATTACAGGATATTTGCCTAAATTCTTATACTCAGAGCAGCTGTACTTCAAACCAGGAAATGCCTATATTCATTGGCAAAACTTAGGGAAGTTGTAGCTTCTGGAACCACATTAACTAGCACCATATAGTGATAACAAATACAAACTTGAATTCTTTAAATTCATTTTACAAGTTTTAACAAGAAAAACCTTAAAAAAAGAAAAAAAGGAGGCAATCTCTGTTTTTATTTTTAGGCAGTATAATGTGCACCTTGAGTTAACCTGAAACCCAAGCAGAGACATTCTGCCTGCTATAGGAGGTCTGTTCTGTAAGAAAAAAATGTTTCTTGAATGATGTGAAGAAAAATGAAACTAGTTCTCCCAGCATTCCTCCCTCCCCCATGAAAGTCCTGTGCCCCAAAAGCTGTTTTTTTTTTTTTTGGTTTTTGTGGTCAGTCATGGGATCTGAACTCTGGGCCTGGGTGCTATCTCTTAGCTCTTCAGCTCAAGGCTGGCCCTCAACTACTTGAGCCACAGCGCCACTTCTGGCTTTCTGAGTGGTTTATTGGTGAAGAGTCTTTCCCGCCTGGGCTTTCTTTGAACCACGATCCTCAGATCTCAGCCTCCAGAGTAGCTGGGATTACAGGCATGAGCACCCAGCCCAAAATGGTTTTAATTAATGAAATGCTATCACTTCACATTCTAGTGTCCAAATTTCAGAATTCTTAAGATTTCAGAATTCTTCATTTAACTAGGTAGCAAGTGATGATTAACAATTTAGTGAAATTATAACCTGAGTCTGGAGCATATTAGCAGAAAGTAATAATTATTTTATGCTGAAATAGCACTACGCCCTATTATCTGCAGGGGAGGCAAATCACCACCACCACCACACATACATACATACATACATACATACATACATACACACACACACACATACACACGCACACATACATACGCATACGCACAAGAAACACAGGTGTTTTCCAAATTCTCTTGGAATTATTTTCATTTCTATTCAAATCACCTATCATATTAAAGAAATACACAAGTCTTCTCACTCTTTACATTCATTTTTACTTAACTTTATTCTTCAGGTGAAAAACTGACAGAAATATGATAACTCAAAAAGTGCAGAAACACCTCACACATCCCTGAGGCCCTGTAGCAATCTAACAAATATTTGCTGAGCTTACTACTTATGTCAGAGAATTAAAAAAAAAAAAAAATTCTCGGGGCTGGGAAAGTGGCTCAGTGATAGAGCGCTTGCCTTGCATGCCTGAGGCCCTGGGTTTGATTCCTCAGCACCACATAAGCACAAAGAAAAAAGCCGGAAGTGGCGCTGTGGCTCAAGTGGTAGAGCGCTAGCCTTGAGCTGAAGAGCTGAAGGACAGCGCCCAGGCCCAGAGTTCAGGCCCCACGACCGGAACCCCACCCCCCCCCCAAAAAAAAAAAAATTGTCCAAGGGACTTACAGATCGACTGCAGCAATGTTCCAAACTGGCCAGCAACATTTATACTCAATTTAAATTCAAAGAATAGTACCTTGCAAGGTGGAGAAAAAAACGACTACTGAATGGACATGGCCTCATTAATGATCACCAAGATGGCAGCATCCCAGCAGGTTTTCCTGATTCCAAACCCTTTCCTTTTTAATCCATCTTGCCTCGGACTGCCAAAACTCATTCCTAGATTTCCACTTTCAAGGAATCTCCCAAGAAGCCTCAAAGACTCCCAGCCACCCACCTATCACATGTAACTCAAACTCTTGGACCTGAAGTCGCATTCAGACGAGCTCCACCAGTCTCAGGCTCCTCGCGGCTGTCCTCTCTTTGGGAGGGGTCGGCCCAAATGTAATGCAACTACCTGCTCGCACGCCCTAGGCAGCCCTTAAGCATCCTTCTCTCCACGGTACTGACAGGTCCACCAGTTTTCCAGACACTCGTACAGGACGAGCTCTTAGCTTTCTTCACCAGGGGCACGTTCATCCCAGGGTATTCTTATAACGATTACCAACCCAAACAGATGTTCGCATTCCTGACCGACCTCTGGAGAAACCAGAGGGATCGCTTTAGTTCAGGCGTGGGAGTCCCCTCAGCACCTCTCGCAAGAGGTGGGACACAGGGTTTGGGGCAGCTGCAAACTACAGACGGGGAAAAATAAAGGAAGCAAAAGGGAAAGGGAAGTCCTTTGGGAGGAGAAGCCGTGGGAGAGGAGACTCCAGGAAACGAATTCCTGAGGGAGGACAGAAGCGATGCACGGTGCGTGTTCCTCTGTCTCCCGTTTCTCTCGCTCGCTCGCCCGCTCTACGTGGGAATGAGGGGCTGGGGACGCCGGACCAAGAAAGCGACGACCATTCTAGGGAGGGGGGGTGGGGACAGGTTTCAACGCGAAACAAAGAGGTCGGGGGTCGGGAGGTGAGGGACGGAGGCTGGCGGTCCGGCCATCTCCGGAGGGGACTCGCCGCTCCCCTCGGGGACCGGCGGCGGACGTGGTTGCCAGGAGGGACGAGGTCGGTTCCCGGGCAGGAAAGCTCCGGGGCGAGCGAGCGAGCGTCCACGGGGCTCCGCTTCACGGAGGGCGCGGGGGCGGGGAGGTGTTTTGGAGTGAGGACGCACCCCCAGAAAGGGAGAATCGCTCCTCAGGATAGTGTTCTCCACGAACGAAAACCCTAAGGATGCGGAAAACACTGAGGAATCGGCATTTACCAACCCCGGTCCGGCTTCCCCACACACTCACCGCGTCTCTTCCAAACGCCACCGCTCCAGCTGCAGCTACCGGCCGGCGCAGCCGCACTGAGCGCGCACCGCCCACGTGACGCGACGGCCCCGCCCTCCTCGCACCACGTGACCCGCCACAGCCCGCCCGCTAGCCCCTCCTACACGTCACTCTTCTCCACGTGGTCTGGTCTCGTCCCCGCCTTGTTAGAAAGATGGCGGCGCCATGCTGTAGTGTGCCTGCCTTCTGGGTCCTGGGCACGAATAAGCGTTTAGGGGGTCTTTCGACGCTCATCTCTAAGTCATTTTGTTCCGCGGCTACTGCCTCTAGGCCTCTGAGCGCCCAGAAGTTAGCGGAGAGGCTTCGAGCCCAGAAACAGGAGCAAAAGAAGCAAAAGCTGCCGGTAAGCATGGAAGGACTACAAGTCCCAGGAGGCAGTGCGCGCACCGGCTCTCCAGGCCAGGGGGGCGCGGCGAGGACCCTTGACCCCGAGTCTAGTCACTGTCGGGTGTGAGGGTATCTGGCGTGGCGGTAGTGTGGGGGTACGCTGTGTTCCTTTGGGCTGGGTCTGCTTCTCTCGGGCTGAGACACAGAGCGGCCGCCTTGGTCGAAGGTAAAGATGCATTCCTGCCCGCGCCTTGTTGAAGGTCTTCTTCCCTGCTCGCCCGCCATCCACGCGTCCTCACCATGCATTGCTCACGCTCTTTCCTCTCCCTCTTTGTTGGTTGTGTACTGAGGCTCGAACGCAGGGCCTGGGCTCTGTCCCTCCACTTTTCCACTCTAGGCTGGCGCTCTGCACCACTTGAGCCACACCTCTGTCTGGCTTTTTGCTGGTTAATTCGAGATAAAAAAAATCTCACGGACTTTTCTGCCCAGACTAGCTTGAAATCGATTCTCACCTCTCAGCCTCCTGAGTAGTTAGGATAGCAGGCGGGAGCCATTGATGCCCAGTTCCTTCTCTTCTCCTTAGGTACCTACAAACCCTGTTCAGCGGAGGGTGCAAGAGCTGGTGCGATTCACGCAGCAGCTGCAGCGAGTTCATCCCAACGTGCTTGCCAAGGCACTGACTCGCGGGATTCTCTACCAAGACAAGGACCTCGTGGTCATCAATAAGCCTTATGGTCTCCCTGTTCATGGTATGGAGCATGTGGGAAAAGGAGGGACTTGCTGATTTCTCTTACAGCCAGGAGCACTGTGAAACGTTACACGGGAAACCCTCTTGCATTCAGATCAGACCTTGGCCAAGTTTTGTTCTATGTCAGGGAACTGTAGAGGATACAGACTTAAGTATCCAGTGTCTTATAAACTGCCCACAGCAGGGATATGCAGAATGTGTGGGTGCACGCCCCCATCCCCACTCCCAGGGATTGCTGAAGAGGAATACCAGAGCTGTGTGGTGCTAGTCTTCTGGTTGTTTTCCACCAAAACTGGGAAAGAGAGCCAAGTGTATTGGTGGATGTACCAGTTGCTTGCACTTGTAGTTGCACCTGTAATTCCAGGGCCTCCAGAGGCTGAGGCTGAGGAGGATTAGGAGTTCCAGGGTAGTCTGGGCAACAGTGAAACCCCATTTCAAAAAGAGGAAAAACACGGGCTAGGAATGTGGCTTAGTGGTAGAGTGCTTGCCTGCTGTGCATGAAGCCCTTGGTCAATTCCTCAGTACTACATAAATGGAAAAGGCCAGAAGTGGTACTGTGGCTCAAGTGGTAGAATACTAGCCTGGAGCAAAAGAAGTTCAGGGACAGCACCCAGGCCCTGAGTTCAAGCCCCAAGACTGGCAAAAAATAAAAATAAATAAGAGGAAGTTGGGAGGCGGTGGCTCATGCCTGTAATCCTAGATACTCAGGAGGTTGGGATCTGAATGTCTCAGTTCAAAGCCAGCCCGGGCAGGGAAGTCCTTGAAACTGAGCTCCAATTAACCACCAGAAAACCAGAAGTGTGGCTGTAGCTCAAAGAGGTAGAGTGCTAGCCTTGAGGGGGAAAAAGCTCAGGGACAGCTCCCAGACCCTGAGTTCAAGCCCTATGACAAACAAAAGGAAGAAGAAAAGGAGGAGGAAGAAGAGGGAACAGAAGGAAGAAGCGGAAGTGGAAGAAGAAAAGGAGGAAAGCTTAGGCTTTAGGACATTGTTTCTTAACATTTTAATTGCTTAGGAGCCAAAGCAGCTTGTTAAAATGCAGATTCCAACTTAGTCTAGACTGGGGCCCTGAGCTTCATTTTCAGTAAGGGAGATCTTCTATGTATTGATATTACTAGATCTTCCATACTTTAGTAATACACTCCAGAACAAGTTGATAGTTAATGTAGTAACAACTTTTCCCCCAAGAAGGATTCTTTGATGAAAACACTCCAACCTCTGACTTTTTCCTTCTTAGGTGGCCCTGGGGTCCAGCTCTGCATCAATGAAGTACTGCCCATCATGGGAAAGATGCTTCATGGCCACAAAGCAGAGCCTTTGCATCTATGCCACCGGCTGGATAAAGAAACCACAGGTGTAATGGTTTTGGCTTGGGAGAAGGAAGTGGCACATCAGGTTCAGGAGTTGTTTAGAACCCGTCAGGTGGTGAAGAAGTACTGGTATGAGGCACCATGATTGCAGCATTTCTTTCTTTCTTTTTTTTTTTTGGTCGGTCGTGGAGCTTGAACTCTGGGCTTGAGCACTATTCCTCAGCTCTTCAGCTCAAGGCGAGTGCTGTACCACTTGAGCCACAGCACCACTTCCAGTTTTCTAATGGTTTATTGGAGATAAGAGTCTCACGGACTTTCCTACCTGGGCTGGCTTTGAACCGTGACCCTCAGATCTCAGCCTCCTGAGAAGCTTAGGAATTCAGGTGAGAGCCACCAGTGCCCAGCTAGCATTTCTTGTGTCTAGACGTTTATCCATCACAGAGCAGGAACTGTTTATAGAAGGCACTGTACTCGGGCCAGTTAAGATACAAAGAGAGGTTAAAAAATTTGATGCTTAGTATGTTAATAGTCTGATAAGAGTAGTTAAAAGTGTTAAGTGGTTAAGAGTGGCTCTTAATTATAGCTGTACATCATAATTATCAAAAATAATTATACAGGGCTGGGAAGGTGGCTCAGTGGTAGAGCCTTGCATGCATGAGGCCCTGGGTTTGATTCCTCAGCACCACATAAGCAAAAAGAAAAAAAAAAGCCGGAAGTGGTGCTGTGGCTTAAGTGATAGAGCGTTAGCCTTGAGCTGAAGAGCTGAGGGACAGCGCCCAGGCACAGAGTTCAGGCCCCACGATTGGACCCCCCCCCAAAAAAAATTATAAAATAATATGATTTTACTCCTATGCTAAAATAAGCAAACAAAGGTAAAGCAGAAATCTTCTAGAGAATCTACCTCCCCTCACATTCTACTAGATCCTTCCCTTCAAGTAACAACCACTACTTCTTATTCAATTCATTTACATTATGTCTAATATATATAGTACTTGCACGTGCATACACACACAGACATATATGAGTGTATATCACATTATACTATTTACATCCTATTTTTTGCTGCCACTGAACTATCTTGGAGATCTTTGAATGTTAGTGCATATAGTTGTTTTTCTTCAAAGAAAAAGATATATGAGCCAAAAAGAATCCTTCTGTTCTGTATCTATGCAGTTCTCTCTCCCAGAAGCAGTCTCTATAACAGTGTCTTATAATAAACTTCCGAAGTTATACTGGGAATATATAAACACAGTATTGTATGGGGGCATTGTGTATGTGTGTAGGTGCACGTGTGTGTACACTGTGGCTTAAACTGGCACTGTCTTGGCTTGCTTTCTCTCAGCACTTGAGCCACTGGTGCACAGCTTGTAAGCATACTTTATACTGTGCTTTACACCCTGCTGTTTGCACTTGGATTGTATGTCTTGGAGAGCATTTCATGTTGTGTATTTAGAACTGTCTCCATTGTAACGGCTCTAGGATATTCTGCCAAATGAATAGATGTTTTAGATAAATGGTTCATATTATTCAGAGTCTTTTGCAACTATGGGTGAATGTATTTAGCTTACTCTATTTTCTCTTACTATAACAATACCTGAGTGTAAGTAATTTGTAAAGGAAAGAAGTTCTTTTGACATAGGTTTCTGGAGGTATGATCTGTTGGGGGCTTTGTGCTGCTGCTTCACCTTGTGATAGAAAGTAGAAGGGCAGGTAGGCATGTATAGAAAAGGGAAAACCAGAAGGTTGCCTTCTGCTTGTGTGGTTAACACTCCAGTCTCTGCAGTGGGAACTCCTCGCTGGAAGGGAACTCAGTCCCACTGGAGTAATAGTCCTTTCTTTCCTTTCCTTTTTTCTTTCTTTTGTTCATTCTTTCATTCTCTCTTTTATTGATATTGTGAAAGAGTTGTACAAAGGGATTACAATCCCATAAGTCAGGTGATGAATACAATGCTTCTTGGACAATGTCACCCCTTCTTTCACTTTCCCCCATTTTCTCCCTCCTGTCCCTGTCCACAGGTCACATAGTTCACATAGTTCTAATATATACATAGTGTATATTAGATGTCATGACTGCATTTGTTTACCCTTCATTCTTATTCTTCCCTGTTGCCCCCACTAAAAAGACAACAATAAAAACAACACCAACAATAACAATAACATGTTTCCAAGTAGTTCTCATTCTTTTTTTTTTTTTTTTGCTGGTCCTGGGGCTTGAATTCAGGGCCTGTACACTACTTCTGAACCTCTTTGTAAGTTCAAGGCTAGCACTCTACCACTTGAGCCACAGCACCACTCCCAGTGATTTCTGAGTAGTTTATTGGAGACCCATGGACTTTCCTGCCCAGGCTGGTTTTAAACTGAGATCCTCAGATCTCAGCCTCCTGAGTAGCTAGGATTATAGACATGCACTACCAGCACCTGGCTTAGTTCTCATTCTTAATAACCTTGGGGCTGGGAAGGTGGCTCAGTGGTAGAGTGCTTGCCTTGCATGCATGAGGCTCGATTCCCCAGCACCACATAAGCAAAAAGAAAAAAGCCGGAAGTGGCGCTGTGGCTCAAGTGGTAGAGCGCTAGCCTTGAACTGAAGAGCTGAGGGACAGCACCCAGGCCCAGAGTTCAGGCCCCACGACCGGACCCCAAAAAAATAATAATAACCTAATCTCCCTTTAGAAGCTGAACTTCTCAATAACCCACAATGGCAATTCAGCTTCAATGTGGCAGGAATAAACCACATCCAAACCATAGCAATGTTTTTAGAGTAAATTCCTAGACCTCAAACTGTTTGATTGAAGACCGTGCATGTTTAAAGTTTTAGTACTCAAACTGCTCTCCAAAAGTTTTCGGTTTGTACTCCCTACAGCAACAAGGCTGAGCACTGACCTCCCATTAAAGAACAAACCTTTTAAAAAAGTTTATTACTCTGATGGGTAAAAAGAAATAATAATAGGATTTTATTTTCTATTTCCCTGTGTACTAGTGACATGAGCTGTCTTTTTGTACTTATTAAATTTAAACTTTCTGTTCTAGAAATAAACTATTAATTTTTCCTTTGCTGATTTTTCTATTGAGTTATCTTTTTCTCTTTTGCTTACAAGTATTTATTTTCTACTTTACATGATAGTCCTTTTTGTTTGACAGATTTTACAGACACAGGTCCTGGGTGCTGTCCCTAGGCCTCTTTGTGCTCAAGGATAGCGCTCTACCACTTGAGTCACTCCCAGCTTTTTTGAATAGTTCTACTGGAGATGAGCATCTCACAGGGACATTTCCGGCTGGACTGGCTTCAAACTGCAAGCTCAGATCTCAGCCTAGTTTTATAGATATGCTGTAATTGGAGAGCCCTTTAAAAATCTTAGGTTTCACTTGGTTAGCTGAAGCAAGAGGATCAAGAGTTTGAGGCTTGCCTTAGATTACATAGAGACTCTTGTCTCAAAAAAAAAATAATAAATAAATTTAATAAATAAAAATACCACAAAACCAAACCAAAGGAAAAACCCTCCATAAATTCCTAGGGCATACAATCAAATTGTAAAAACCACTATAAAAGATTATGATTCTCTTGGTATAGTGCCTAGCCTGAGAGCTGGATACTTCTTATAAGCTTATATCTTTTACTACTAAAGTTATAATAGCAATCATATAGTATTTGGGGGGGGGAGGAAGAGAAGAAAAGCATGTTAGTAACATAGTCTTTAATAATCTTTATAAATGGTTGTGTACAGTTAAAAGAAAATTAGGATAATATGGTTTTGTATCCCGTTTTTCTTTTTAAAATAATAAAGGTGGTGGATTCTGATGCTATACTAAATGAGCAAACAGAACAATGAATGAACCAGTCAAGTAAAAAACTCATAGGACTACCTATTATATTTGTCACATAGGTAAACAGGAAGAAACTGTGCCCCAAAAGTCAGGAGCCACAGCCACGACTCTGTAACCCATTCCAAATCTCTTCTGTGGGTAGTCTTCTTCTTACCTCATAGACAGCATAAGAAACTATGAAGAATGCCCGTGGTTAGTACAGAGTCTGCTGTGAGGTCCTGTAAGCTGCCAAGTCCCGGGAGCTCCTCCCTGGCTTCCGTGGTGAAGCACTGGTTTATGTGTCACCCTCAGGGCCATCACTGTGCGAGTCCCCATGCCATCTGCAGGAGTGGTGGATATCCCCATGATTGAGAAGGAGGTGCAAGGGCAGCGGCAGCACCACAAGGTAGGGAAGCTGTCTCCCTGAGGCACGGGTTTCTGAACTGCTTTGGAAATTATGTCTTGATTTCTTTGGCTTCAGATGACTCTGGCCCCAACCTACCATATGGACAATGGGAAAATGGTGAAAGGGCGGGCCAGCCGGAATGCCCACATCGCCGTCACACAGTACCAGGTCCTTAGCAGCACTCTGTCTTCGGCACTCCTGGAACTGCAGCCCATTACTGGTGAGAGGGCCCAGGGCCTTGTGCTGAGTTTTGCCCTTGTTTTGAGCCACTGATACTGTAGGTGGGTGAAGGAAGCTGACCCTGTGGCTTTTGGTGCTGCTCTGAGACTGAGAGCTCGGGGGGGGGGGGGGGGGGGGGGGGGGGGGGAAGCACAAAAAATATAGTTTGAATATGTTTATTTAAAAAATACACAAGCTGGGCGCTGGTGGCTCACACCTGTAATCCTAGCTACCCAGGAGCCTGAGATCTGTCTGAGGTTTGTGGTTTGAAGCTAGCCCAAGTAAGAAAGTCTATGGGACTCTTATCTCCAGTAAACCACTCAGAAAAAGCCAGAAGGGCACTGTGGCTCAAGTGATAGAGTGCCAGCCTTGAGCAAAAAGAAACTCAGGGACAAAGCCCATGCCCTGAGTTAATAAATAAAAAATATACAAAACATGTCCTTGAAAATTTAAATTAGGGGGCTGGGAAGGTGGCTCAGTGGTAGAGCACTTGCCTTGCATGCCTGAGGCCCTGGGCTCGATTCCTCAGCACCACATAAGTAGAAAAAAAACTGGAAGTGGCGCTGTGGCTCAAGTGGTAGAGCGCTAGCCTTGAGCTGAAGAGCTGAGGGACAGTGCCCAGGCCTAGAGTTCAGGCCCATGACCGGACCCAAAAAAAAGAAAAAGAAAAATAGGCTGGATATGGTAGCTCATGGCTATAATCCCAGCTACTTGGAAGATGGAGATCAGGAGGATTGCAGTTTGAGGTCAGCCTGGGCAAAAAGTTGGCAGAATCCAGTATCTGGTAGTAGTGTGCGTACAGCCATGCAGGAAGCATAAATAGGAGGATTGTGGGCCAGGCTGGTTTGGGTGTAAACATAAGATCTTGTCATCAAAATAACTAAGGCAAGAAGGGCTAGGGGCATGGCATAAATAGTAGAGCACCTGAGTTGAATACCACCACCAAAAGAAAAAGAAAAAAAATACCATATAATCTAGCATTTCTATCTGTATATATGTTCTGTATATATTCCCAGAAGAATGTAAAGCAACTGTCTATATACTCTGGTTATAGGAGAATTAGCACAATAATCAAAAGATGGAGACAACGAAATATCAATGATCAATGAATGGCTTACTTGCTTGCTTTCCTGGTGTTGTGTGGCTGGCACTCTGGGCCACACTTCCAGGTGTGCTTTCTGCTGATTATTTTGGAGGTAGAGTTTTAAGGACATTTCTGGCTAAAAAACATGATCCTCTGGATCTCAACCTCCTGAGTGGCTAGGATTAAATGCTTGAGCCACTGGTGCTCAGGTAAAATGGGCAATTTTATGTATATTTTACTATAAATAAAAAATGTGCAAAATGGGGCTGGGAAGGTGGCTCAGTGGTAGAGTGCTTGCCTCCCATGCATAAGGCCCTGGGTTCGATTCCTCAGCACCACATAAGCAGAAAAACCTGGAAGTGGTGCTGTAGAGTGCTAGCCTTGAGCCAAAGAGCTGAGGGACAGCGCCTAGGCCAAAAAAAAAAAATGTGCAAAATACTACGACTTATTTAAAAAAATCAAAGTTATCAAAAAGGAAAAGGTAAACATCAAATCCATGATAATGGTTATGTAGAGTATTTGTGATATTAGTATCATGAGCTGACTGCTACTATATAGCTTATAGTTTATATTACTACGACTAGTATTGGTATTGTTATTACTGGATTGGGATAGAATCCAAGGCCTGGCTCATGCTGGACAAGCACTCTTCCACTGAGCTGCATCTCCAACCTTTCTTTCTTTCTTTCTTTCTTTCTTTCTTTCTTTCTTTCTTTCTTTCTTTCTTTCTTTCTTTCTTTCTTTCTTTCTTTCTCTCTCTCTCTCTCTTTCTTTCTTTCTTTCTTTCTTTCTTTCTTTCTTTCTCTTTCTTTCTTTCTTTCTTTCTTTCTTTCTTTCTTTCTTTCTTTCTTTCTTTCTTTCTTTCTTTCTTTTTCATTGTGGGGCTCCAACTCTGGGCCTAGGTGCTGTCCCTGATCTCTTCACCTCAAGGGTAGGTCTCTATCACTTGAGCCACTATGCCAGTTCTGGTTTTCTGATGGTTAATTGGAGATAAGAATTTCACGGACTTTCCGGGCTGGCTTTGAACCATGATCCTCAGATCTTAGCCTCCTGAGTAGCTAAGATTACAGGTGTGAGCTAGCAGCACCCAGCTGGTATATTTTTCGTTATTGCTTATTGGATTTGGGGCATTTCCTGCTACTGTGCTTTGATGTACATCATTTGAAGTAGATGCTAGCACTGGCATTGTTTCTGTAGCTCTTTAAATGCTCTTTCTCTCTTTTTTTCTTAAGGAATAAAGCATCAACTTCGAGTTCACCTGTCATTTGGACTGGATTGCCCAATCCTTGGTGATCATAAGTACTCAGACTGGAATAAGTTGGCCCCTCAGGTAAAATGATTTAGCTCACTGTGCTATGCTTTCTTTCTATTAAAACCCTGAAAGGGCTGGGCACCGGTGGCTCATGCCTATAATCCTAATTATTCAGGAGGCTGAGATCTGAGGATTTGCAATTTGAAGCCAGCCCAGGCAGGAGAGTCTGTGAGACTCTTATCTCCAATTAATCACCTAAAAACTGAAGTGGAGCTGTGACTCAAAGTGGTAGAGTGCTAGCCTTGAGCAAAAAAGCTCAGGGATAGTGCCCAGGCCCTGAGTTCAATCCCCAGAGCTGATAATAATACAACAACAATAATAATAGTAATAGTAATAAGCCCTGAAAGGAGTCACCACAAGGAGGTATGACTGTCTCCAAATACAGAACCATACTAGTTATACAGTAGTTAGAGACTTCATGAAGCTGCAGAATCCATCGGCAAAACCTCACTGCCTCATTTGTTTTAGCCTTAGCTCTTGTTGGGATGCGTGGGCAAGCAGAACAGTCTGTCTGAAACAGAAGCCATCTTTATCGTCTTTCAGAGCTGTACTTCATTCTCCTGAAAGGCTATACATTGGCTAGTAAGAGGTTCTTTGGTATGGTTCTCTTTCCTTGCTTTAGCTGGTTCTGAAGCCTTCCTAGGCCTTCCCTGAAGCAGGCTCTCCGTTCAGGGCATTAGTGTTGGTTCTTGATAAGTGGAAGTGCTCTGGCCTCACCTGCCGGTTGTGGCCTCCGTTGACCTTGCTCTCAGGGATTCATCTTTGCTTTGTGTAGAAGCTTTCTGTTGGCACCCTGAAGAAGCTGGGGCTGCAGCAGTCGAAGGCCCGCCACATTCCCCTTCACCTGCATGCCCGGCAGCTGGTCCTGCCTGCCTTGGGGTCCCGGAAGGAGGAACTCAACTTGGTCTGCAAGCCTCCTCGCTTCTTTGTACATTCTGTGCGCCGTCTGGGTTTGGTGATGCCAAGTCAGGACCAAAGCGGAGACAACCAAGCTGGACAACCAGGAGCACAGTGAAGACTGTTGAGCTGTTTGACCCTGAACTCTTTCCTTTGTTTCATGGAACTAGCTTCTCACTTGAATAGACTCCAGAGGAGCCATGTGGATAAGTTGAGGAATCTTCACCACTTCAGACCTTTTATTGGAGTATAAAGTCTGTTTGCTGAAAGTTTGATCACACTATGGAAAGGCCTGCTGGAAGTCTCCCTGTCATCCAGTGTCTTTACCAGGAGCCGAGGGCCAGGCAGACTGGGGAGAACTGAAGAACAGAGTCCAGTCAAGAACTGTTTCCATCCAACAGAAAAGCTTGTGAGCGATCGGAAAACGCTCCTGTGGCTGGAAAGAACTCGTTATGCTTAAACGCATGGAATCTGAGGGTTCTATTGGAACTAAAATGTGGGTGCTGTACTGCACAAGTGGTGATGAAGCCTGAGAAGGGGGTGTAGGGTGGGGTATTTGATAAGGAAGGGAAGCAAGTGGAACTACCAGCTGGGTAACAGAAGTGAGTGAAGCTGGTGGGGTGTAAGGCGTGGTGGGGACAATAAACCAAGGAATTACACATGCGCGCACACACACACACAAACAAAACACACACACACACTTCGTAGCAATTTTTAGTACCAGCTGGTGGTTGCCATGTGGGGAATAGCTTTTCTAACTTTATTTTTTCCAAGACTCAGGAATTAGAATCTGTTTGTATTTTTCAAAATAACAACCGAAAAAAAAAAACAAAAAAACAGCTCTCAGGAATATCTCCTAGCCTGTTATCAATTAAATCAAAATTTGAAGAGACCCTAAGACAGCCAAACACATTTGTAAGTTGGCCTTGGCTAGCAGGTTTCAGGTTTCTGATTTGCAGTGTGTTGAACAAAAGGGAAGTCTGGGGCAGGATATCACCTTTAAAGTTGTGGGTCAGTGGTTGGCATTTGTGCTGTGTGTGCTGTATCCTTCCCACATGAGGGGATGACTTTGTTCGATGCACAGGAGTGGTTATAAAGTCACCGCCATTAAAAAGAAAGTCTGTTTTGGAAACAGCCTCCAGTTCTTGGGTTATTTTCCTAGATGGCTCTGCTCAATACCAGTAATACTAGGCATGGAGGCCGGGGGCAAGGAGGTCCTTGACTTACCTGCTCAGTTGGCCCGTCCAGCTTCCATCTTGCTTTTCACAGACAATCAGTCTTACACACAAAGGTACCTCACAGTGCTTTGGACTGGGTTGAAAGTTAGAGTAACTGTATAGTCGGAAAGGCCTGTAAACAGCCTTTATATGTCCCTTCTGTACCCCCAAACTCACTCCCTTATCTGTTGTTCTTCATTCCATGGTTTCTCTTACCCGTGGTCAACCACAGTCTGAAAATAGTAAATGGAACATTCCAGAAATGATTCATAAGTCTTCGGTTATACTCCACTCTGTGTAGTATGGTACAATCTTGCACTGTCCTGCTCCATGCCACCAGGGATTTGAAGTGTCCCCTGCCCAGTGTCCCCAGGCAGAATATGGTCCTGCTCCTCAGCTAATAGCCATTACATAACAGACCAGATACTGTGTTTCAGTAACACAGTACTTGTGTTCAGGTAGCTTTTTATGAGAATAACAGACTATTCACATGCATTTTATTACAGTAGATTGTTAAACTGGTCCTATTTTGTGAACTGCCTCTGTGAATTAAACTCGATCCCCAAGCTGCAGATGGCAGGGATGGCAAGGCATAAGGCTTATCATACCAGGCCATCAGGCCTAGACACTGGCCACAGAGCTGGGACCCAGCCGCTGTGAGACTGGAACCAAGTGTGGTAAAGTGAAGAAGACAGGTGCTGGGTACCCAGCGCTGCTGGTTTCAGAAGTGGATGAGCAGCTGTGTTCCAAGGTACATACTCCACAGTTACTCAAAGAAGGGGTCAGTAGACATTCTCCGTAAAGCAAATTGTTTGGATTTTGTAAGTCACGTGATCTGTCACAACCACTAGACTGCCTTTTTTTCTTTTTGGTTGGTTGTGGAGCTTGAACTCAGGGCCTGGGTGCTGTCACTAGCGTTCTACCACTTCGAGCCAATTGGAGATAAGAGTCTCACCTTTCCTGCCTGAGCTGGCTTCCAACTACAATTTTCATTTTTCCAGCCTTCTGCATAGATAGGATTACAAGCATGAGCCACCAGCACCTGGCTTGCACTGGCTTGTACTAGCTTGGACAAGACAGCCACAGATCCATAATCCTGTTGCACAATGCCAAATCTTTTGATTTTTCTCAGCAGTTCATGAAATCGTTTATTCCTCACTTACATTATAACCCTCTAGTTTCACTTGCTTTCAGTTGACTTAAAAACAAACAAACAAAAAAAGACTGAATGAGTCATCAGTGGCTCATGCCTTTACTCCTAACTACTCAGGAGCCTGAGATCTGAGGATCTTGGTTCAAAGCCAGCCCAGACAGGGAAGTCCATGAGACTCTTATCTGCAATAAACCATCAGAGAACTGGAAGTGATGCTGTGGCTCAAGTGGTTAAAGCCATGAGCTGAAGAGCTGAGGGACAGCACCCAGGCCCAGAGTTCAAGCCCCATGACCAACAAAATAAAATCAGACTCCCGTTGGCCTACTGGCTCCAACTTGTCCCACCCCCAATAGGCATTTCAGCTTTGGATTCATCAATGGATTAATTTGTTGGTGAAATTATGCCCTCATGATCTAATCACCTCTCAATAATACTAACATTTGGGGACTGAGACTTTTAGCTTTTTGAGGGGACACTTCATTTCCAAATCCTAACAGTGACGAACTGGATGTGGGGATGGATGAGAGGGAGGATAGAAGAGTGACTTCCTCCCATGGGATTGTTTGGTAAATTGTCACATTTGAAGGTCCCAATGGGGTGAATATAAACAGACATAATCGGATATGATTTTATTTCATTTATGGTATTAAAATGAATAAATGAAATGCATATATTTACCACCAGATGGCAGCCGCCTCCCAGATTTTATTCCTTTCCTACCTAAGCGGTGACAGTTTATAACTAAGATCAAGTGTCCTCCACAAGTCATTTTCTCTAACCCTATAAATCTTACTCTGACTGTTTTAGTGTTATAAATCTTGGCTCCCCTTTCTTTTTATTTATTCTTTTAGCTATCTGGAGCCTGGCCTTTTCTACTCTCTGGTAGAAGTAAATTAGTAGAGGAGATCATTTGTTGAGCTGCTCCAGTGAAGTTGAAATAAAATTTGACCCAGACACACAAAGTCATAAGAGCACTACAGATTCATTTGATTAAAAATATGGAAAATATGATCAAGCCATTCACAATCAACAAAAAGCCTAATAGGGCTACTCTGGAGGCTGAGAACTGAGGATCATAGTTCAAAGCCAGTAGGCAAACAAACAAAATCCATCAAATTCTTATCTCAATTAACCAGAAAAAGGTAGAAATGAAGGTGTGGCTCAAGTGGTTGAGCGCCAGCCTTGAGCAGAAAAGCCAAGCAAGAATGTGAGGCCTGGAGTTCAAGTTGCTGCACATGCAAAACAAAAAACAAAGCCTAATAGGATCATGTATTTTTATTCAGCACATGACTACACAGTTTAGCTAAGACCTCGAACACCTCTGGTTCCTAGCTTAATGTACTAACAAAAGTTGATCTGATGCCCCAATTTGATAATCAGTCATGTTTTTGCCTACATAAAATTAGGTAGATGAATTGTTATTTACTAAATAACAGAGTGTCAGATAAGAGTGCCTGTTGGAAAGCTTCTGCTGCCGGAATGGCTTTTAGATGGACTGAGCAAGCCCTTGTCCAGGTCTCCCCAAGGCTCTCTCCAGTCTCCTCTGCGGGCTCCCTTGTTCCTCTCACCGCCTGACTCAACACACCATGAGGGATCCTTAGGCTCCTCAGGTCTCTGAACCTCCTGTCTCCTGCATCTGTGGGCCTTTGACTCTCAGCCTCCATTTTCCCCAGCACAAGCTACCCAGATTGCCCCAGTTCCAGGAGGGTGGCTACAGAAAGGGGACAGCCAGCACCGCAGCCTTTCCTACCACCAAGCTGGCCAGGGCGCCCCTGACTCCAAGTCCCTGTCCTCTTTCAGCACTCTGGGAGCGATTACTGTCTGTCCATCATCGGGAGCCAGGAGTGATGACCTGGATGACTCGGCCTGAGGGCCTGGGAGACAGGGAACCCACTTTGATGTGAGCTATGAGGTCAGGCAGGCAGGGCAGGAGGTGAGGGACTGTGGACATAATCCCCTCTCCCATCACGGGCTTCCTGGGAAAGACGCCAATATGTCTTCCTTACCCCTTTTATCTCTTCATTCTCTGGAGCCAGTATTCCTCTGCCCCAAACTCCAGACAGCTCTAGGCAAACAGCTTGGGTTTCTTCATCCTGTACCTTCAGCCTAGATATGGAGGGGTTTGTGATGGCCACGCTCATCTGCCTGCAGCACTTGAGTTATATTTAGTTTTCTGCTGGTCTGGGGCCTGAACTCAAGGCCTCCCAGCACCTTCCCTTAGCTTTTTCGCTCAAGGCTGCCACTTTACGACTTGAGCCATGGCTCCACTTTCGGCTTTTTGGTGGGTAATTGGAGATTAGAACCTCACAGACTTTCTTGCCAGGGTTAGCTTCAACCTGTGATCCTCAGATCTCAGTCTCCCGAGTATTTAGGCTTATGGGTATGAGCCATCGGTGCCCAGAGCAGTTGATTTTTAAGGGGTATGTGGTTTTGGCTTTACAAATGAAACACCCAATTCTGAAAGAACTTCCTCCTTGGAAGTTAAGGGTCCCAACTCTGGGAGGGGCCTCAGATCTCAGTACTCGGCCTGTGACTGGATACTGGAATCCTTCATCTCTACTTTTACCTGTTACCTGCCAGACCTGGTCTGACACAGTCACACAAGCTAGACAGCTTCACTCTCACTGTGGGGAAGACAAGATGAGAGGGAGGGAATGGAAGACAAATCAGATGGGGGGGGGAGGGGAGTAAGCTATGGCTATCAGAAACTTGCCCCCCACCCCCCAAAACACACACATACACTGGGCCTAAAAGGCTGCCAGCTCATCTTGGCCTGGCTTGAAAGTCTGGCCCTTTTCCTGTCTAAAGTTACAGAAAATTCCAGAAGTTTCTCGGCCCTTCCACTCCCACCCTCACTTTCTGGAGTTAAAACCAGACTTCCCTTTTCTCCCTATTTCCTTAGCCTAGGGAGGGAGAAATCAAGGAGGCAAGAACTTAAGGTTTAGAAGAGGGCCTCACGGAAGACCTAGAAAGCTAATGACAAAGGCAACTTCAATTTTCAGCATGTGTTGTCCATGCAAAGCCTCCTCAACATACTGTCTTTTTAAAAATCTTCAATAATGAGCCAGCCACTGGTAGCTCATGCCTATAATCCTAGCTACTCAGGAGGCTGAGATCTGAGGCTCATAATGCAAGGCCAAGCCTGGATTTGAATAGTCTGTGAAATTCTTATCTCCAATTAATTACCAAAAAATCTAAAGTAGAGCTGTGGCTCCAGTGGTAGAGTGCTATCCTGGAGTAAAATAACTCAGGGGCAGCACCCAGGAACTGAGTTCAAGCCCAGGACCAGCACATACCAAAAAAAAAAAAAAAAAAAAAAATGAAGTGAATAGGACATAGTCTATAATCTTGGTCTTTAAATAAGACCATTTTTGATGACCTTGAGCCTAATAATCTGAGATTGCTTATTTTGGAGAACTGGCTGATACTCTCAGCTCTTTACTGAGAACCCACAAATTCAATATCTTGGAGAAGAGCAGAGCATTTGTGTACACACACACACACACACACACACACACACACACACACATACACTCTCTCTCTCTCTCTCTGGTACTGGGTCTTGAACACAGAGCCTCACACTCTTGCTTGGCTTTTTCTCTCAAGGCTGATGCTCTACCACTTGAGCCACACCTCTACTTCTAGCTGTTTGAAGTTTCATTTGAGGTAGGAGTCTCACAAGACTTTTCAGCCCAGGTTGGCTTTGAACCACAATTCTCAGCTCTCAGGCTCCCGAGTCATTAGGATTATGGGCAT